TATATATTTTATTGAACTTATTCTTACAAATGTGGTTAAAGATTCTTAGATGGATTCATTTTAAGATATTCTAAATGATTCTGCACAAAATGCAGATGCCTCTGCTTTTTACTGATTTTTAATTAATTTATTAAGAAAAATTAATTTAAAACTAGTGGTGTCTGGCATCATGCCTTAAGGAAAAATGCTGGAACTTCCCGTACTGTAATAAAATTAAATATTCGAGAAATTTTAAACGTTTTCAAATATATTATTACAAATACTGTAAAACTTTCATTATTTTTGCTATCTTGTTATATCTGAGCAAATCAAATAAAAATCATAAATAAATCAATTTATCTCCAGAACATTAACAATCGTCATTTCATTTCGAATTCAATTTCAAAAAAATAGTTGCCTATTTGAAAAAGTGTTCCCGTATAGTCACAGTCTAAACGCATTTGCAAATAATTCTGTGCGATATTTTCACTTATACTGTGCTTAGCTTGGCGGCATTTTCACATTTTTCAACAGTTTTGCACAAAATTGGAAAAGTGATCCAGTACATAAACAGTCTAAACGCACTTGGGTAAACATTTGTACCAGAGTGTCGCTTAGACTGTGCTTAGCCTGGGTAATTTTTTGATTTGAATTTTTAATCCAAAATTACAAAAATATTTTATGAAAAATAAAAAAAAGATGTAATAATTTTTTATCCTCAAAAGCAATTGTTTTGTCTTTATTAAATTATTTATTTATTAAATTTATTCTTTTTATCCTAATTATTGAATTTAACCCTTTTTGCACCTCTAAAAGCACAACCACTAGACAAAATATTGTTCCAGAAAATTATCCTAAAACTGATTTTTTTTTTAAATTAAAAATAATTTGAATGTTATTTAAAAATCTCAAAAATAAATACTATATTCACATTTCTTCAACTCCAAAAACTACCCTTACCTAGACCAGAGTCGTACTTACACTTTGCTCTAAAATTAGACAAAATTAGACAAAAATACGATTAGTTAAGTAAAAAAAAAATAAAAATAAAAATGATTTGAACATTAATGCATAATTTCAAAAATAAATACTATATTCCCAATTTTTCAACTCTAAATATCACCCTGAACTAGTCTAGAGTTGTACTTACACTTTGCTCTAAATTTAGACAAAAATACGATTAGTTAAGTAAGAAAAATAAAAATAAAAATGATTTGAATGTTATTTCAAAAGTTTACGAATACATACAAAATCCACGATATTTTCAACCCTAAATATCACCCTAAACTAAACTATAGTTGTACTTACACTTTGCTCTAAATTTAGACACAATTAGACAAAAATACGTTTGGTTTTTGGATTATAGCTCTTTCAATTCTGATAGTACCAGAACTTATAATATACTATTTCAAAGGTAACTACAAAAGATACATTTTTCTCTAACATAATTTTTTTCGTAGCTCTTCCTAATAAAGTATTAATTATATCACATTATTATTGAGTCAATATTAACTATTTTTGAAATTTGGCACAAAACTCGCAAGTCTAGAACAAAATTATGAAAATTATAGACAAATTGTAAAGAAATGTCTTGCACATAATTGCATAAAGGATTAGGCAAGATTGAACTAGCTGTAAGTGGAATTCTGTCTTAAGGCAATTAAGGCATCGTGCCTTAAGGCAAATTGCTGGAACTTCCCGTGCCAAAAATTATTATTTTTTTAAAAACGATTAACATTTTTGAAAAAATTTCACTTCGAAAAAATAAGATTTTTTAGAAATTTTAAATCGGACAAAAAATTACTTTTTTTTGAAAAAAAAAATTTTTTTTTAAAAATTTTTAAATAATTTTTTTTATAAAAATTTTTTTTTGGAAAAAATGTTGTCTTCATTTTGATATATTTTGGAAGATCTGAACTTTTTTTCAAAGCAATCGTACTGCTTTAACTGCATAGAGACGAAATATAGAAGCGCGTCGCTGTCTAACGGAAAAACAATAGTACGGAACCCATAGGAATGTGAACAAAACTTATACTTATTGTTAAAATCTCAATAAAATATCTGATAATTTGATATGCATATGTCTAATGTCTAATGATTATTGTTGACCGCCAAATGTTATTTTTTTTAGTTTTTTTTACTAGATCTCCGAAACCGCTAGACCTATCTTCATGAAAATTTGATCAAATCTTCATCTTGTTAATACAAGTAAAATGTTTTTTGAACTATACAAATCGGACGCTCCGTTCTCTTAAAAACTGAGTTACCGTTTTTGGCACTTTTTGCCCCGTATCTCCGGAACGGCTAGAATGTTTTTTGAATTATTCAAATTGCTTCATCCGTGTTCCCGAAATCGTCGACGAAAATTTGTATCCGAACACACACACATGCACGCACACACACACACACACATACATCAATTTTCTCCAAGGTATGCCAACATATTCAGAAACCTCTGAAACGTGAAGATATATAAAAATTTTCATTTTCGATTTTTTTGCGATTACTTACCCTATGGAAAATTAATTATAAATAAATCAATTTATCATCTCCAGAACATTAACAATCGTCATTTCATTTCGAATCAAATTCCAAAAAAAAAATAGTTGCCAAATTTACACAAAATTGAAAAAGTGCTCCCGCATAGTCACAGTCTAAACGCATTTGCAAATAATTCTGTGCGACATTTTCACTTATACTGTGCTCAGCTTGGCGGCATTTTCACATTTTTCAATAATTTTCACAAAATTGGAAAAGTGCTCCAGTACACAAACAGTCTAAACGCACTTGGGTAAACATTTGTACTAGAGTGGCGCTTAGACTGTTCTTAGCTTGGGTGATTTTTTGAATTTTTAATCGAAAATTACAAAAAAATTTTTTTGAAAAAAAAATTAGAAACAAAAATTTTTTTTTTCCAAAATCAATTATTTTGTTGAAAAAAGCAGAAAGTTCTTTGAATCATTTAAATCGGACGCTTAGTTCTCTCAAAAACAGCCATTTTTTTTTAATTTAGCTCTGTATCTCCGAAACCTCTGGGCCTACCTTTGCCAAAAACTAATCAGCACATCTCCCTATCAATAGGAATCGAATGTTTTTTAAACCATTCAAATCGGTTGATCCGTTCTCTTAAAAACTCGCTTTCTATTTTTTGCACTCTTTGCTCCATATCTCCGTAACGGCTGGACCTGCCTTTGCCAAAAACTAATCAGCACATCTCCCTATCAATAGGAATCGAATGTTTTTTAATCCATTCAAATCGGTTGATCCGTGCGCCCGAAAACGTGGACGAAAAAACGCGGACATACAAAACACACACACACACACACACACACACACATCCATTTTTTCTGAAGTATGCCAAAATGTTCAGAAACCTTCAAAACGTCGAGAAATGTAAAAATTTTCAATTCCGATTTTTGGACGATTACTATAACTTACCCTACGGGAAGTTAATAAATCTTAAATAAAAAAAGTTAAAAAATAGCATTATATATTTAAATTTAAAATGTTCAACTGTCCTGACCAATACTGGTTGTACTAAAATGTGCAAAACCTTAATTAATCAATTTTTATTAATTATAAAAATAAAAATATTGCTCTTTATTTGCTTTAAGGCATGATGCCATGCACCACTACTTTTTTGAAAAAAAGTTAGTAAAAGTTGAAGAAAGTAAAGTTCAATTAATTAAGTAATTTTATTATGAGTCATTAGTACATTAGAATTTAAAAATTCATTTATACCATTCTCTGGTAAATTCATGGAAACACTATTGTTATATAACAGTAATTTTCTTTATTACTTGACGAATAATTGAAATTTCATTGTGAAGTATTGAATGCAGAAAGTTATTGAATTAACTTATAAAAATGTATTAAATAATTAATTAATAAAATTTGTCCTATATTTTGCAGATATAAAAAGACTGCAGTAAGTCGCGTGTTTTTTAAAGAGACGAAAGTTTTAATATTTAACTGAAATTTCTTGAACAGTTTGGGTGAAACTATATATAAATAAAATTTATAAGAATTAATGTAAAATTGACATTACATGAATATAAATAATAACAAAACTAATTTCAAAACCAAAATTATTATTTATAATTTATATATTTTTATGATTAGATTTTCAATATTTTTCAAAGAAGTAACTACTTTTAAGTTTTGTGTATCAACAGTCTGGAATCAAAATTGTTATAAAACGAATTATTATAGGGATTCGTTTTTAATAAAATAAAGTTCGTAATTTTATTACAAATATTCAAGTAATTTTTTTTACAATGAATCCTTCAACAAAATTAAAATCCGAGCTTTTATCAACTCTAAAACCCTTACACTACATTTGCTCCTTCGTCGGACTAGCTCCATATAGCCAAAACCACCAAAAAACTTACACCAAAAAATATTTGGTGGTACTTAAACCAATTTTGGCAATTGTAAGCCATGTGTACATTTGGCAACTAATGCAAAATTCTCTCAGAATTACCAAACGCACCAATATTTTGGACAGAGTTATGAGCATTCAGGACCAAATTTGGTGGTTGTCTACAGTTTTATTTGTTTGTTTAGAATTTTGTGTAAAAAATAAAATTGTTACATTTTTCCAAGATTTGCAAAATTTGGAAGTTGAATTTGGGCAAATATTTTGGTCCCAAAATAGTTACAAAAATCTGCAAAGATTTATTTGGAGTTATTTGGGTTTCAGTTTTGTTGCTGTCGGAGTTTGTACGTATTTTGATTTTTTTATTTATTTTGACATCGATGCCAAAACTTTTTTCTGTAGCTTACCATTTTATGTAGGTTTTTTAAGTTCTGTAGGCACTTTTAATTTAAAATTCGTTGCTCTAAATATTTTAATAAAAGATAGATTTGCAATAATCAACAGACACTTTGCTGGTATGACATGTAAATTTGATGTAAGAAAGGTGAGATTTTCACTACGCGGAAAAAAAATTTCAGCAGTTTCTGAGGGACAATATAATAAATATTATTTTAATTTTATTTATGTTATTTCTTATTTTTAGGTGAGCTTAGTTCTGGACAAGAAAATCGAGGAACAACTGCAGGCAATACGTCTAAGCTGCCAACTGCATACGAAACTCTGCAAGATTTCCAGACAATTAAATTCGGCTTATAACATACAAATCATTTTGTAAGTTTTTTTTGTCTTAAATTTATTTGAAAACCAGACTCGATATTTATAGTTTGGATTAATGATGAAAAATATTGTTGACTAGACGTTTTGCTTTGCAAAGTAAAATTTGGGTTTTTTGATACAATTTTCAACTATTTATTTCAAAAATAACATTTATGCTTTTTCAAAAAACTAGGCATTACGATTTCCAGTTTATATCTCTTAAACATACTTATATATCACTTAAACTTTTTCATGAATATTTGATTGATTTACTAAATTTAATCAGAGTATAAAATGACAAAAAACATGACTAGATTTTCTTTGATCCATCAAACTATTTTTTAAAATATTGAAAGAGCCTTTGCCAATATTTTTAGGTTTTCTTATAAAATATTTATAATATAATAAAATCCTTAATTTGATTTGAAAATTTTGTTACAATAATATTTAAAGTCAATTTATGCCTCACATCTTAATTTAGAATGATTTTTTTTTAACTATCAATGTAGATTTTTAGTTATACAAACAAAGTATATTAATCATTGCTATCTAGAATAACATCGTGTCAAAATTTCTTTAAAAATTATTAATGAAACAATATTTGATTTGAATGTGACATCAACTTGACTCTGACTAGAATTTTTAACATATTTAAAATGTAAACATTTACAAAATATTTCTAAATTAAAAAAGTTAACAATTATTTATGGTTTGTTTGCAAAATATTCATAATATCCATGTAATAATAAAATGTACGGATCTAAACAAATCTGGATCAATTTTTAAAAATGAAATAGAGTTAAATAAAAATTTGTTGCAAAGACTTTTAAAGATTCTCAGAAAATTTATGAATAATAATGAATAAATCATAAAAATACAGAGATCTAAAATAACCTTCTCAATAACTTAATAACTCATTCTATAACTCAATGACTCTCTCTATAACCTAATGATTCGCTCTATAACTCAATATATTTTGATCTGCAACTCAATAATTCGATCTACAACTTAATAATTCAATCTGTAATTCAATAATTTGCTCTGAAACTCAACTGATCCATTACTCAATGAAAAAACTTACTCAGAAGCTCAATAATTCAATAACTCGCTCTTTAGCTCAAGGACTCACTCATTACTTTACTCAATAACTCAAAAATTTGCTTAATATTTCGCTCAATAACTTACTCGTTTTTTCAACAACTCAAAAGCTCACTCAATAAATCAAAAATTTACTCAATAATTTACTCAAAATATCGGTCAATAACTCAATAACTTATACAAAAACTCATTTAATAACGCAATAACTTACTCTAAAACTGACTCAATAATTAAAAAAACTCGCTCAATAATTTACTCAATACCTCAATAATCTACTCAATTACTCAAAAATTTACTCAAGAATTAAGTCAATAACTCGAACATTCACTCAAAAATTCACTCAATAACTTAAATTTACTAAATAACTCAAATTTTACTCAATTACTCATTCAGAATCCCACTCAATAACTCAATAACTTACTCTAAAACTTATTTAATACTTTAAAAACTTACTCAATAATTAAAAAACTCGCTCAATAACTAAATCCTTCACTCGAGAACTCAAAAATTCTCTCGATAACTCAAAAATTCAGTCGATAACTCAAAAATTCACTCTGAATATCACTCAATATCTCAATAACCTACTCTTAAACTTATTTAATGAATCAAAAAATTACTCAATAACTAAATCATTAACTCTATAACTCAAAAATTCACTCAATAACTCAAAAACTCACTCAAAAACTTGCTCAAAAAATCACTCAATACCTTAATAACTTATTCAATAATGGACTCAATAACTCAAAACCTTACTCAAGGACTCAAAACTTCACTCAATAATTTACTCAAAAACTCACTCGATAAATTAATCAAAAACTAACTCAGTAACTCAATTACACAATAGCGTACTCAAAAACTCACTCAAAACTGAATAATTTAATGAAAATAACTCACTCAAACTCACACAATAACTTACTCAACAACTCAATAACTGAAATCACTTTCTTTAGGTATCATTAAAAAAACTTGCCTAAACTAGATAATTTGAACTAAATAAGACATTAGTACTCTTTTCAAATGCTTTTTAAAAACTATACAGACATTATTGGAGTTGTTAGCTACATCATATATATATATATATATATATATATATATATATATATATATATATATATATATATCTTATCTATAGATGATTCTGAAAAAAATCAACATTATTTTTTTAAAATAAGATAAACTTAGGCCATTTTAAAATCCCTTATGCACCTGCATAAGGAACCTTTGACAAATACGTGTGAAACGCTTTTTGTTTTATTTTTATTATTATAAATCAATAGAACATATATCTAGAATTATTCATTCACCATTCAATTAATCTTATTTTCATACTATTAAAATTACACAAAAACCAAATCTTAATTTTATTTCCTTTTATCTAGGTATGTAGCCCTAACATTCGTAGTAGTAGTGACCCAACTCTACTACGTGGCCCTAGGGTTCATGGACCCTGTAAACGAGTATCGAAGTACATCCCAAATTATAATGTCTGTGAATTGGGCCAATTACCATTTAATTGGTGTCATAGCATTGGCCGTAAGCTGTCATAGGGCCAGCAAAGAGGCCGCCAGGACCGGAGTGCTTTTGCATAGGATGAGGAACCGACATCAGAGCCGGGTTAAAGAAGTTGTAAGTAGGAGAAAATTATATGTATAATATATATATATATATATATATATATATATATATATCTTATATATAGAAATGGAGCTCTCGATCAAATGATTCAGTAAAACTCGAAAACGGCTAAACCGATTTGGCCAGTCTTAACCTTGAAAAATTCGTGCTAATCAGTAGGTTGTCGGTAAGGTGAGATATTAGTTTTAAATCGCGTAAAAACTTTACATTTTTAATTTGAAAGTTTTTGTAGAAGCGTAATTTGAATATAACAATGGACGGTGACTAATACCTAAAATGTCAAATGTTTTTGACATATGATGTTCAATTACGTTTAATAGGATGTTTTACGTGAATATTATTTAATTATGATTAAATTGTAGTAAGTAGTTTTGTTTGTAGTTTTAATCATACACAAACACGTTATTAAACGGGCCGCAAGTGTTACTAGAAACACAAAATATCAACTTTTTTGAAATGTTAATATGAAAATGCACTTTTTGGCGTTGTAGCACTTTTTTTTGCAAATCATATTTTTCTCAAACACGGTACTCTAAAAGATCTCATTTGTATAATTATATACTCATTGGTATTTATAAAACATTTTCTAGGTTATATTACTTTTTATTTATGTTATTTAAATTCAGAACCTAAATTTGATATAGATCAAAGGGATTTTGTCGAATAACATTTTTCCAGCTATAATTTACCAGAATTTATTGAAGAATAAATAGTAATATATGAAGGTCCGGGGTTAAATAGGTCCACCACCGATGTGTCAAAAAACAGTAAAGTTAAGCATTGTTTAACAATATTTGAAAGTAGAGGGAAAAAGATGTACAACCAGCTATAACCTTGATTTATATGACTTTGCTATCGGGAAATAAACGGTAATCTTTGAAAATCCATAGTAAAAGTATTTTCTTCTGTTGGTACTTTTTTAGCACTAGTTAAAAGTGTAATTATTTTTTAAAATACCTTTAAAATTAAAATAAGACATTAAACCTGTTTGCCATCTGGCCGTTCCAAATTACCCCGCCTATAGGGTAAAAAGGTCTAGATAACAAATTTTTGAAAGACAGCAAAAAAAAAACACATTTTTACAATGATGAAGTAGCTGGTAGTTTTACTGAACGTAGTCAGATAATTGTTCGTTTGAAATGTGTCATTTGTTGTGATAAAATTGGTTTGATTTTCATAATAAAATTTATATTTGCTCAAACTCAAATTGGACCTTTGTGCCTCGCCCTGCTCTACATATATACTTTTTATTTAATTTACTTTAATTCAAGGTATGTTACTTTTCAAAAAGCAGGTCAAAGCAGATATATCTAATTCATTTTCTATCTCTCCTCGCAGAAATTTGAAAAATTTGTATAAGCTCGGTAGTATTATTTACAATTATACACAAAATCCAGAATCCAAAAAGAATCTGAAAAACTTGAAACGTAATCAATAAGTCGAAAGACCGAAAAAGACTCAGATGGATTATACTATGTTTTCTATAGAAAGTGTATAAACCTTCCGGTTTGATTTTATTGACAAAATACAGACAAACTAATGGGGTTTATTGTTTTTATAATACTTCATTGCATATAGCATTCAAACAACGCATCCTTATACACTTAAAGTATTAAATATTTTCTAGAAACTCAAGAAATTGTTTAGAATATACCTTACTCACAAAACAACGTTTGCCGGGTCAGCTAGTATATATATATATATATATATATATATATATAAAATTAAAATATCACTACAAGACCTATTTTTCCCTATAATGATGGTTTACAGTTCATAAAACAAAGAACGATCATTCATCCGACGACGACGACGACAATATATTTCCTCGAAAATTCTAGCAAATGTTAGGTGATAACATGAAAAATGAACTGTTTGACAAGATAATTCTCTGATACAATGAAAGCTTAAAGCTTTGAAAAGCTCGATGAGCTTTTGCTTAAAAGTTTGTGGTGGATCATTCCACTCTTAGGGGAAGACAAGGGAAAAAGATACATTTCTATCTAGAATCATAATAATAATAATAATAGTAATGAGAACTAGAGTGTGGTAGAATTTTGTGAATATATAGAAAAAAATTGGAAAAATAAAAAGTTGTTCTTAAGTTGTTTCAAACTGCTTCAGAAAAAGCTTGAAGAATTTTATCTGAAATATTAGGTTGTCAAATATCTCCCTTCCGCTTTTTTGCTCTTGATTTATAATACAAAAAGGCGGAAGGGAGATATTTGACAACCTTATATATTGTTCAAAATTACCATTGATATCACAACTAAGAAATTAAATTAAATATTCATGTACAAAATTAAGTTTCTTTAAATAAAAATGGTCCACCAACAAGACTATTTTCAAATTACGACGTTTTCTACCAGTTTCCCCTATATATTTCTCTTGTTTCAACACAGAATTAAGTAATTCAAAACTTTTGAAAATAATAGTCAAAGTTTTGTTAGCGTCAGCGTACTCTTATAGTTTATGTAAAAAAGTTTTTTATATTCTTTTTTGTGAACAATGTAAGTAGTTTTAGAACTAAGAACAGAAATTGACAGGTAGGCATCTTGCAAAGTAACAGATGCGAAGACTATAATATAAAATTATGTTTAATAAAAAAAATATTAAAAGTTACGTGAGTTTGATATTAGATATAATTAAAGAGAAATTATGCAATAAAATGCAGGTATATTAAAAATTGTATTTCCTATAGAGTAGTAACCTGTTTGTCGGATAGTGTTTCAAGATAAATATATAAATTTGAGGTAAACCATTATAATTTTACTTCAATTTTGTGTATATCTGATTCATAAAAAGTAACATAAAAATTAAAAATAAAATTCATTACATCTGCATTACTTGGACAATTAGAAAATTTACATATTTGTAACAAAAAAAACGTGTGATCAAATAAAACGATCCGAAATAGAGATGAAAATATTAGGTTGTCAAATATCTCCCTTCCGCCTTTTTGTATTAAACCAAGAGCAAAAAAGCGGAAGGGAGATATTTGGCAACCTAATATAACATAACAAAAATTACAAGAGGCAGAGTTAAGCTCAATATGTTTTCAATAATAACATCCGTTGTCTTAATAATAAAAATAAATATTTTTGAAAACCTATTTCTAAATCATATAATTTATAAAAATTTAAATTTTTTAACAATTTGATAAAAATATATTAAATTTCAGATTGAAATGTGGTCTTTGCAATTACTTCATCAAAAACTCGGTTACACAGCCGGAGGACTTTTTAGTATCGACATGACTTTAGTTTATTCGGTAAGATTAATTTATTATAAGACAAAATAATTATATATATAAATATTATAAAATTGCCTATATAGTTACATTTTCCATTAAAGTTATGCTTATTTAAAAGAAGAACTTTATTAAGACAGTTTCAACTCTTATATCGAATGGCATAATAATAAGGGAAAGTCCCGTAACACCGGACGGCACCTGAAGCCGGACGCTCTATTTAACATATATATATGTATATATATATGTATATATATATATTTAAATATTATTTTTTTCAGATTATTGGTTCAATGACGACATATCTAGTAATTTTGATCCAATTCAACATGTTGGGTGCCCAAAGATAAACGCCTTTATTCAGTTCACCAGATAATCAGACAGCATTATCGATAACATCATAAATTTTAGATAATTAATTAATTTTTAGAATATTTATGTATATAAAGTAAATAAGTTTTGATAATTATAGCATTAGTTACAGATTGTATAGAATAAAAATAAATTATTTTAATAATTGCAGATCTGGATAAGATGTATATATAATAATAACACTTTTGGGTAATCACTTTCATTTACTTAGAGAGTGTTCAACTAAAGAATACTTCATTTTTGTAATCGAAATAAATTCATCACTGTTGTATAATAAAATAAAAAATTTCCTTTTCAAATATAAAACAAACAAAAAATTTCTTCATCTTTCTCACGAAACCATCCGTGGCGAAACGGAGTTCGTCGGGTTTGCTAGTATATATATATATATATATATATATATATATATATATATATATATATAATAGAAATGTAGATTATTAAAATAAATCCTAGCTAAATTATTATATTATTTATTAGAACATCACACATATTACTCAATTTAGTTGCATTAGCAAAAAGTTCATTTATAATTTGTTGTATAGAAATGCTTGAAATTTATTTTATAAATATATCGACGCAAAAATTTTATAATTTTTTTTTGTAACTTGTTTAGGATACATTTTAAATACAAAATTTCAATATATAAAAGTAATTGAATAAGTAAATTCATAACAGCTAAAACAGATAGAAATTGATAGAAAATTGTATATATAGTAATGAATGAAATATCAAAAATGTATTAATGTAATATCTTTTAAAAATATCTCAACAAATTTATTGTAGAAAGTATTCAAAATTCTGTTAAATAGATTAAAAAGCATTTTTTCATATTTTATTACAGAAAAAATATAGAAATTTATTTTTTAAATACATGAACGCAAAAATTTGCCGACTCATAATTAATACTTTTAATTGAAATATATAAAATTAATTGCTTTTAAAGTTTTGACAAATATAATAAATGGATGCTTTCAAATTATTTAACAATTATTATACAACTTTGTTTCCGCCGTTTCTTACATAAAAGTTCTTTAAGAAACGGCGGATGCAAAGTTGTATACCTCATTTTCTTCAATTGTGTTTTAGATTAATTGACAAATCTTATATAAAATTTCAATTGTAATAATAATTACAAAAATTAAAATTTGATAATTAAAAAAAATCCAACTTTGTTATAAAAGGACTTGGTGGGTATATTCATATTTTGCTAGATAAATGATTAAAATTGATTTCTAAAAAAATATATATATTTTCTTAGTAACTTGTTTCGTACTAAATTTGGCTTTCAAATTTTACCAAATAATTTGCGAAAATAGCTATGAAAAATTAGAAAATGGGATTATATTAAATAATAAATGCAACATGTTTATGAATAACTAAATTATGAAATTAATAATTAGAAAATTAAAAATAATATTTAATTTTATTACAATCGATTGTTTTTATACATATATTAAAACAAAATTCGTTCATTTTTATTTTATCTTCCAAAAGTTCATTTTAAAATTACTATTCCAACTATTAAAAAAAACTAGATATAATTGCTAGATTGTAAAAATTAATTTTAGTATAAATTCATTAAAAAAATTACCTATTTTTTAGAATTGCAAATGGAATTTAAATTTATTAGAAAATATGTACCACCGTATATATAAAATAGATATATTTATTTATATGTATATAAATTAAATTAGATTAAATTAGATATAATTATTTATATGTACGTATGTAACAGATCTAATTATCATATAGAAGTACATTTCATAAATAGAAGTAAATTTTAAATATTTATATGAAGTTTGAAATTAATTTTAGAATTTCCTATTTATTTGTATTACTATTAGAATTTATTCATTTAAAAAAAAGAATGTATCTCCATATATAAAATAGAAGAAATTTATTTTCGTAAAATTATGAGAAATAAGTTAAGAAAAATATTACAGTAAGAACATTTATGTGATATTTTCGTAAACATAGAATACATCCTATATTTATGTACATAGAATAATCAAAAATAAAATTATATTACAACTGAGGTATAAAGTATTTTCAAAGATGACTTTTTCTACATTCTCTCTAACAAAAATCATCTTAAACGCATAAATCATAATCATAAAATCTCTCAATAAAGTAATTCTGGAAATACTCGATTCTAGAAAAACTAGTACAAAGTTTTTATTACTTTGCTTTGCTTTTTTACTATTTTATATTAAACCAGTGACAAATAATAAATATATAGGAATAAAATGCATTTTCTTAAACAAATATTGAATGCAAAAACTTCTATATTTTTTAGATATTTATCTTATAAAACTAATATTCTATTTTAAAACATGTCTCCGGCTTCGTGTAAAACTTCAAGAAGAGTAATTAAGAATTTTTCTCCCGCTAACTATTTTATTTGCACTATAAAACCCAACTTTGTTTTTATTTACTAATTAAACAAAAACAACGACAAAGTTGTTCTTATAACACAACTGTACAACAAGAATTATTTATTGATTCTCGGTCGAGGAGAGAAAAGTTTCTTAAAGAAAAGATAAAGGAAATTGGAGTAAAAGTAGTAAAATAATTTGCGGATGAAAAAGGTACTTTTTTGTTGAAGTAATTTACATATTTATAATTAGGATAATAATCAGCAAAAATGCAACGGAAGTGCGTTACGCCACGAATACGGATTTCTCATTGGTCGATGCGGTTCAAAACAATTCAGGGCAATTTTCGATCACCATTTTCGCCTCCAGCTATATTGTTATTAATAATTTCCCTAAACAGCTATCTGATTACTCCATAATGTATGTTAAATATGTGTTTAAATCGACTTTAACCGCATGTTGTTAATTTTAATCGATAGTTAGTAGAATATTATTATCATTATCGAACTGAACCGGTCAGCGGAATTGTTAATTTTATGACCGGACTTCGGGTCAATATTATATGTATCAGGTGTCGGACACAGTTTGCCAAATTATAATAGGAAATGAATTTGTAATCAGCATTAAAATTAGCTGAGATCGGGGAATTGTAGTAAAAATATATTGCGAAGTAACAAGATATAAAACTTAGAACAAGATCTTAAATTTAGAAGTATCTCTAAAATGTACTACAAGATCTAAAATTTAATACAATATCTAAAATTCAGAACAATATGGGTCTGAGTCGATTTCAAAAATTTAATATCCATTTGATGTAACTCGTTTAGGACTAGCGTTTGTCAGTTTTGCGCAACGATCAGCCAAGCCATTTCTTCGTAAATAACATACAAGTGTAAAACTGTTTGTCCACGTTTTAGACTGCAATTCTGAATCAATTTTAAGAATTTAAAAACTTTAAAAATTCAAAAGATATTGGTTGAGAAAGTTAAAATTATACCTCCGTTTTAAAAATTAAAAAACCATTCGATGAAACTTGATAAACACTTGCGTTGGTTACATTTTCGATACGATGAGATGAGCCATTTCTTTGTAATTAGCAGAAAAGTGAAAAAAAATCCGTCTTTGTTTTAGCCAAAAATTTTGGATCAATTATAAAAATTCAAAAACTATTCGAAAGATATTATTTGGGAGTCGTGCTGATTAGCTTTGGGCAAACATCGGCCGAGCCGTTTCTTCGTACTTCCCTGTTGCAATTTTTTTATGCAACTTCTTATGTTAGATATTATGGTACTAAAGAACATACTAAAATTTTACGACAAGTCGTAATTTTTCAATTGTAAACACTTGTCAGCATTCTCTGCTAAATATAATTATTTTTATAGATTGCAGAATGAAAATAAAGTAAAAAAGTGGTAATTTTAAAAAATCATCAACTTTTGGAAAAATATCATAGTGAAAATTCGTGTCAAAAGTTGTTTTTGTGATGTGATGAGTCACATTGTCAATTCACTAAAATTTAAAATAATATGCTACAATTTTAGGACATATAATACAATAATTACAGATAATTTAAATGTATTGAAGCAAATTCAATTTGAAATCTTAAAGCAATATTTAGATGTAACTCATAATAGGTTGTCAAATATCCCCCTTCCGCCTTTTTGTATTATAAACCAAGAGCAAAAAAGCGGAAGGGAGATATTTGACAACCTAATAGCAATAAAATTGTTTTTGAAACAAACAGTTAAATTTTTTTAACTAATTATCTAAAACTCAATTTCGGTTGGTTTAGTCAATTATTACATATTTCGAGAAGTTCATGTAACTTGCCTTAAGGCAAAATGCCACTTTCAGCAAGTTCACAACACAAATAATGTGTTTACTAAAAATATCTGATAACTAGCTGTAAGTGGAATTCTGTCTTAAGGCAATTAAGGCATCGTGCCTTAAGGCAAATTGCTGGAACTTCTCGTACCAAATTATTATTTTTTTTAAAAACGATTAACATTTTTGAAAAAAATTTACTTCGAAAAAACAAGATTTTTGAGAAACTATAAATTGGACAAAAAAATACTTTTTTTTGAAAAAAAAATTATTTAAATTTTTTTTTTAAATCTTTTTTTTTGAAAAAAAAATGTTTTCTTTATTTTGACATATTTTGGAAAATCTGAACTCTTTCAAAGCAATCGTACTGCTTTAAATGCATAGAGATAAAATATAAAGCGCGTAAGCGCCGCGTCGCTGTCTAACAGATAAACATTGGTACGGAACCCATAGGAATGTTAACAAAAATTATACTTATTGTTAAAATCTCTATAAAATATCTGATAATTCGATGTGCATATGTCTAAAGATCATTTTTGACCGCCAAATGGCATTTTTTTTTTTACTTTTTTTGTTAGATCTCCCAAACCGCTAGACCTGCCCTCATGAAAATTTGATCATTGCTTCATCTTGTCAATACAAGTAAAATGTATTTTGAATTATTCAAATCGGACGCTCCGTTCTCTTAAAAACTGAGTTACAGTTTTCGGCATTTTTTGCCCCGTATCTTCGGAACGGCTAGACCTGCCTTTGCCAAAAACTAATCAGCTTGTCTC